CCATCTCTTCACAATTCTCGTGAGCTCTCTCCCATCATGTGACCAGTGGATTGGGAAAGGGATAGATTGGGTTTGCAGTTCCCCTTTAACATTTAATATATATTGTATAATTCTCAGCTGAGTGTGCAAATAGGATTGAGAACTGTCATTTTGTCAAAATTGCCAAAAGTAAAAGACTAACGCAGGAAGATTAGATATAACCCATATGTGGTATATATGATATATATTTGGGGATGCGATGTTGTAATCATGTAGGATGTATTTGAAATGACATTCATTTCAGTGGTTAATTAAGTACATTACTCAATACCTTCCATACACTACTTAAAACTTCTTAATACTGAAATATTCATTCATTCAATCATTTTAAGTACTAGGGTAACTGTGTGGTAGCAACACCCTTTGAATAACTTAAATAATCATTCGGTTTCGAGAAGATGAGATTATTTAATGCCAGTTACGTTTATGAATGTGCTTTACATACAGCGGAAGGTGAATATACTGTACAAGCAAATTTCCGACAATAGAATTTATCAACAGTTCTTTATATACCCAAATTTCTCACATGAACAGCAATACTGTACAAAGGAATAAAACCACAACAGATATGTTATCATGGGTAAAATTTGCTAATACTCACGAAGACAGTCCAGCAACATATGGGCCCAATTCTGGATGCTCTCTCACACGAAGCTGTGGAAAAACATATTACCTTCAGAATTGAAGTATAGATATATATTTTTCATCGTTACATTTTAAAGTGGTGCCTTTCCGAGGGGCTAAAACATAATTTCCTTTTTTGTAAGTGTTAAATTCTCAATCTGTCTTCTATGAAGCCATGAAATGTTGAAAGTCCACCAACATTCCAACCCCCCCAATACTGAAGTCCTTTAATGGCAAAAATGTAAAAATTGTTTTTCTAAAAAAATATAATTATATCAAATATATACCAGAATATATTAGAAGCGTGAAATATCTTTTTCAATAGCTGCAGTACATAACAAATGGTGGAATTATGAAAACATATTGGCCATACTTTTAGCTTTGGCTGACTACCGACAGATTTCGGATGATGTTGGCAATCCTGCATTAATCTCAAGAACTAAAAGATGACATTATGAACAGCAAAACAGGGAAAACCAGCATCGAGACACGATTTTTGTGACTTTAACAGCACTTACCGAGGTCTTCTTTTTGTTCTGCTCTTTGTCTGACGAGAGAAGATCATGGATTTTTTCGTTGTAAACTTCAAAGTAGCTCATTTCAATATGACAGGCAACCTGCTCAAAAAAAGTTTTTTTTTTTAATATAAGCACCCTCAATACACGTTTATATCATGTGACACTATTCCACTATCGGTCCACTGTTATTATCTGTAAGCCAGTAAATGTAAAGTGTTCTTGCAGCAAAGCTGGAATTCTTGGTTTTTAGCATTTTTCCCCCACCTGTTCTACTCACTCATAAACATCAATTTCTAAACCCTTAAACCTGCTTTAATTTGAAAATATGGTGAAAATGCCATCTGTGTGTTAGCTCTCAAGGACCTCAGCTGGCCATTACTGACTTACCGTAACTGAATCAACTGTTACACTAAAGTGATCAGAGCACACATTTCAGATCTTGAGAAATTGTTTTAAGAGTGAATTGCATATTGTACTGTACCTGGTTTAAGACATTAGTGCCTCTTGGTTCAAGTCAAAAGAAGTGTTCATAGCAAACTTGGTTAAATGTATTAGTTCATGCTGGTGACAAGTAAGGGAACTCCATCCAAGACATTCAGTCAATGATTTTAGACAAACAGTTGAATTCAAATATTCATTTTGAATTGTAATTACAGTAAGTGGTGCACTTAGCTTAAAAACTCAATGTAATTATGCACATCTGCACCCAGTAATTATGGTCATAAAACTACACTTGTTAGTCTATTGAATCTATTTCCTAGCTGTTATGTCAGGATATTTAGAAAACTCATTCTTGCCTCACGAAGATGGACTTGGGAAGCTTTGAGAAATAACTCTTCACAAAATCGGGGAATTATTCCGATTTCATCGCCATATCCCATCATTCTGTGGTAAAAAAAAGTTGCAGTTCAGATGGAAAGAAACAGGAATGTAGCAAAATACATATTACAATACATTAATTTATTAAGTTGGTGATATTTTTTGTTAAATCTCTTTCAAATAACTTTTTTAAATGATGAGGGTAGTGAGGCACCAGTATTAAAACATTACCAATTATTCCAAAAATATTCACTAGTATCATCTTAATGCCGATAATTTCTAAGGAATTCAAAGTTCTCTTTCTTCTTGACCTTACCAAATGCTAAAGACACAGTACACCCATCCTAAGTTTCCCCAAAAGAAATAAAGATAAGACAATAGTTATTTCTATACTGAAAGCACATTCCAGCCTCTGATGTGCACTTCCCTGAACGCCAGACATACAAATTCCTTCAGAGCCTGACTTCCGGTACCAATATTCTGAATACTCCACATAACAGTTCATTTCAATTAAAAAATATGAGGACACAATTGGCAAATAAGGTCTGTAAATCAAATATCTTCATGCTGATAACTCAAAAAAGAAGACATTTGAGTTATTTCTTGGTTTGTTAGAAAGAAAATAATATCAAAAATTTGTGTTACAGCATATTTTTGTTATACAGATCCTGATCTGCTTAAAAGTGCTGAGTAGCTTTTATGTCAGTAAAATGTGCTTGTGTTGGAGCACTAAATCCTCACATTGATTCATTTAAATTCCGTTTAATGGTCATGAGAAATTACTGTACGATTTTTTGTAACGGGGCGAAAGTGCTGTGTTGCTTACGTGTAGGACTTTCCTGATCCAGTTTGTCCGTAAGCGAAAAGGCAGGTGTTATACCCCTGGAATAACTTATCAAGGAGGGGTTGGGCCAATTTCCTGTAAACCACCTCCTGACCAGCGTAACTGTCTCCCTGGCCATCAGAAGACCAGAAAGCAAAATCAAAACAGAAAGAGAATTTCTGCTGGTTATGGGGATGATGAACTACCGCCTCCTGGCCAGAAACTGACACCACAGATCTGGGATTCATCTGCCGCTCCCTGAAAAAGAATCAAATGAAGAAAAAATGATTTTTTTTTTAAAGAATCCCAGCTTTTAAAAAGGGTAGGATAATGTGATATTGAAAAAAACAACCCCACAAGGCAAAAACAGTCTCATCACAGACTTGTAATACTGCAACAGCAGAACTAAACTGCCAGGCACCACCTCTTCCAGATCTCAGCTGTGACCAGAAAAGCCTAATTTTCAGCGTAAAACAAGAAGACACACAAACTACGGCAGCTGAAATCGAAATTACAATCCCAAAAAATGAAGACCACCTACATTTCCTGTAGAGTACTTCTTGGTAGTCAGAAGATTAGCAGGAAAAAAGTGCAAACTGAGAAGATGTACAGAACGGGACATAG